AAAATCTTATTATGGTCCGATTTGCTTAAAATTTAGTACGTAAGTAGTTTTTAGCATATATTAGAATATATGACCCATTTTTTCCGGGAAGTGGTCCAGGGACGGATCTATTCCAAAAAATCGCATTTATGGTCCGATTTGCTTAAAATTCGGTACGTAAGTAGTTTTTTAGCATATATTTGGATATATGGTCCATTTTTCCGAGAAGTGGACCAGGGACTGATCTATTCGAAAAAATCATACTTACAGTCCGATTTGCTTAAAATTCGGTACGTAGGTAGCTTTTTAGCATATATGATCCACTTTGTCCGAGAAGTGGACCAGGGACCGATCTGTTCGAAGTAATCGTATTTATGCTCCGATTTGCCTGAAATTCGGTACGTAGGTATAGATTCCTGTTTTCCAATTTTCATGCAATTTCGAATATAAATAGCTTTAAGTAATGACCATATCAAGGGGCGAATTCGTCACTAGGCAAGATTTTTTTGCGCCAATCAGAAACAACGGATACTGTCAGAATATAATAATAATATATAATATATCTCAACTAATATATATTTAGAAAACCGTTTGTTAGTTTTCGCAAGGCTCGAGAGCGGCTGAACTGATTTTTTTGAAACTGCTACCTGCCGCACGTGTCCCAAGGATGGTTTTAGGCTGAAAAAAATCTATATGTAAAGGGGGCGTGGCACTTCCCATACAAACCGAATTTCTCATGCTACATATCTCTGAAAGTGTGCAAGGTAGAGTTTTGGAAATTGGTATGGAGATATACGAAATCAATCGCATACCCTTGGAGAAAAATTTTAGCTATTGTAAAAAGGGGTGTGATATCTCCCATACAAACCGAATTTTTCATATTGCTTATCTCTGGAAATTTTTTGGCAGAGTTCTAGAATTTTGTATGGAGATGTACGAAATAAATCGCATACTCTTGGAGAAAAATTGAAACTATTGGAAGAGGGGGCGTGCCATCTTCCATACAAACCGAATTTTTCATGCTGCCTATCTTTGGAAGTGTTCATGGTAGAGTTCTGGAACTTGGTATGG